TGAGCTGAGGGTGTGTGTGTGTCAGTGGAGGCTGAGCTGAGGGTGTGATGTGTGTGTTAGTGGAGGTTGAGCTGAGGGTGTGTGTGTCAGTGGAGGCTGAGCTGAGGGTGTGTATATGCTGAGAAAGGAGTTTCTAAGAGCACTCATAGCTCACTGCCTCCCATGAACACCAGGCTCCTGCAATGACTATGGAAACACCCTGTCCCCTGAGGAAGTTCATCCCAGGGTCCCATGCTCTGCCCACCGTCTTTGTCAGAGCTCTACATGGTAGATTTCCCAGGGTCAGGAAGTCTAACTTGCCCTGGGCAAGCTAAAGCAGGATCAGGAGATTGGAGACCCTACAAGATGGGGAATCCTCAGCACCTGACTCAGTGTCCCGTCACAACCAGGATCTAAACTGAAATAGTTCAGAGAGCACAAAACTAGGCTGGCCCTGGGCCAAGCTGCAGCTGGAGCTCAAGGGAAATCTGCTTTACCTGTACGAAGCTGAACTCCTTCCAGTTGAGTGAGTTGGCAATGGAGGGAAGTGAGGTGACAGCCAGCAGTGCCAGCGTGCCCAGGGCCAGCACGCCCATGGAGAGGTATATCTCCATGCGCCAGACTTCTTCCTCAACCCAGAGGCGGGTCTTGTTGTCCAGGACCTGGCAGAAGGGAAACCATAACCACGATTAGCAAAAGCTGGTACCAGAGAGCGCGAGTCACCCTGGAGCGCGTGTTGCCCGGGAGCGCGTGTCACCCAGGAGCGTGCATTGCCCTGGAGCGCATGTCCGTCACCCAGGAGCGCGCATTGCCCTGGAGCGCATGTCCGTCACCCAGGAGCGCGCGCGCAGCACCCAGGAGCATGTGTCACCCAGGAGCGCGCATCGCCCTGGAGCGTGCATCGCCCTGGAGCACGTGTGACTAAGCACCAAAGGACAGGAGTGAGAACACAGCTATGTTCATGCTCTGCTGAACAGCTAACATGTGCCAGGCATAGACTAAGCACTCCCCAGGTATTTGAAAGCCACACTGGATGAAGAGATGGCACAGTAGTTAAAAGCTCTTGCTGCTCTTGCAGAGGACCCAAGTTTGGGTCTAGGTGCCCACGTCTGGCAGTTCACCACCTGTAACTCCCATTCCAGGGGCTCCGATACCCTTCTCTGGTCTTTAAGAGTTCTTGCACTCATGCGTGCATACCCATACATAGATATACAGAAGTTACTAAAAATAAATCTTTAAGCCAGGTGGCGGTGGCACAGGCCTTTAATCTTAGCACTTGGGAGGCAGAGGCAGTCAGATCTCTGACTTCAAGGCCAGCCTGGTCTACAGAGCAAGTTCCAAGACACAGAAAAACCCTATCTTGAAAAAATAATAGTAAGTAATTAAGTAAATAATATCTTTAAAAAGTCATTAATCTCATGATGTTTCCTTAAGGTAGAGAGCACTATACCCCCATTTTAGGGATTTAGGAAACAAGAGACAATGATTGAGCTGATTTCTCAACGTCCCAGCTCCCTTCCTGACTGATGGCCAATCTCAGCTTGAGGGTAAGAGATCAGAGTATCCCAGGATATACAGACCTTCAGCTGGGCCTGGGAATGCATGCCTATAATTCCAGCACTCAGGAAGCTGAGTCAAGAGAATCATTGGTGCAAATCTAGCCTGGGCTGCTCATTGAGACTCTGTCTCATATCTTACCCCCGGCCAACAAAAGAAGCCTGTGTTCCCTAAGCATGGCTATACCACACTGTTTTCCAGCCCCCAGTCAGGACAGTGGAAAAGGTGGGAAATGCAGCCCCCATTTCAGGACTGCATTCCCACAGCCATACCAGCTGCCCCCACTCCCATCTGGACCCTTTCCAACCTGCTTCATTCATGCCTCACGCTTGGGACACACGATAACACTCAGTGCCACCCGTCAACATCTCCAAACTCAAAATCCCCAGACCCCTTTCTTTCCATGTGTCCTTTTCTCTCGGGGGCACATAGCTCTTGCACATCTGTTGCCCGGCAACAGCCTGACATCCCCTCACCAGTTAGTTCAGCAAGCACTTAGAAAGTACCTACTGTGTGCTGAGCCTGGGACTACATAAGAACATCTGCATATGACATCGGTGTCTCCCACTGAGCTCCGAGGACACACACGTGCATCAGGGATGCTCTGAGCTCTGAGATGGCCCCTCCTCACCCACTGGCCCTGCCTGACCCAGGGTCTCTACGGGGAAGAGCTGGAATCAAGGTCCTTCCATCAGGACTGCCATCATTTCCCAGTCAGTCCTGAATGCTAGCCCTTTAATCTGCCATCAGAAAAGCGAGAAAGCCTCCCCGAGGAAGGAAGACTAAGCAGGCTGCCCCTCCTATAAGGAGACTGACTCAGACGTGTGTGTGTGTGTGTGTGTGTGTGTGTCTGTGTGTGTGTGTGTGTGTGTCTGTGTGTGTGTGTGTGTGTCTGTGTGTGTGTGTGTGTCTGTGTGTGTGTGTGTCTGTGTGTGTGTGTGTGTCTGTGTGTGTGTGTGTGTCTGTGTGTGTGTGTCTGTGTGTGTGTGTGTGTGTGTGTGTGTGTGTGTGTGTGTGAACTACTTCAGCAGGAAGAAAACACCTCGTGTAAGCCCATTACTGGAACAGAATATTAAAAATGAATCCAGGGGCTAAGCAACAATGGCTGCAAAGTTTACAAAAGGAACTAAAGGAGTCAAGAAAATGCCATCTATGGCCACTGCCTGCCCGGCGAGAAAAGACGGCCTGGTTTTTGTTTCTGTTTTGAGACAGGGTCTCCTGTAACACAAGTTGTCCTCCAACTCACAAGGAAGCCAAGGATGACCTTGAATTCTGATCCTCCTGCCTCCACTTCCCAAGTAAGTGTCATAATTTTAAGTTTGTGCCATGCGGCTAGGCTGTGGGTGTTGCTGGGATGGAACCCAGGGCTTTCTGCGTGCTGAACAAACACTACCGGCTGAGCCGCATCCAGTTTCCCATTCTGGATTATTGTAGGGCAGGCTTCTTCATATTGGTGTCCGAAGGCCACAAAGGACCAGGAGTTGGAAGACCACTGGCCTTGTGGGTCTCTGAGATACCATCTCTGGACCTGTTTCTTTATCTGACAGATCCAAACGAGCTGGGATTTTGGCCGGTAATTACAATGTGGGTAAAAACAAGTTGGAACAGCATTCGCTAGTGGGAAGAGATAGGTCTGACCCTGCAAAAGGCTCAGGTCCCTGCCGCAGCAGCAGCCCCTGAACAAGACTGACTCATGGTTGGTGTTAGCAAAGCGAGTCATCTCCATGTGCTCTGCTGTTCGCTCATTACTCAGCGGCTCGCTGAGCTTGGGTGGCTCACATCACAAGTCTCGCTGTGCCTGACTGCAGACTAGTCAACAGTGGCTTGCAACACTGGTGCTCCTCCCCGCCTCCCCCACCCCCCCACCCCCCCACACCTCCCCCGCTCCCCCACCCCCACCTTGATGAGGAGGGAAGGGCAGGGAGCAGGCCTGGGGGCCCGATCGTTGTCACCTTTATGATGTGAGTGCAACGTTTGAGTTTGTGTGGAGGTCAGGGGTCAACATTGGGTGACATTCTTCGGGAGCTGTCTACCTTGCTTATTAAGATGATTTCTTAATGAATGTGGAACTTGGCAAGTCAGCTAGGCTGCTGGCCAGAGAGCCCCAGGGATCTGCCTGTCTCTACCTCCCCAGCCTGGGGTGGCAGGCATGTGCCATCACTCCCAGCAGCTTTTCATGGCTTCTGGGGATTGATCAAACTCAGATCCTCATGCTGGCAAGGCAAGCTCTTTGTTGAATGACTCTCCCCAGGCCCACACTCAGCTAAGTTTCATCTCTTCTCTGGTGGTCCCACGCTGGTCAGCTTTGGAGTGAGGAGGACAGGGGAAGCTGCCTGTGGGTCAGCTGTTGCTTCTGAACTTGACTTCTAAGTAACCTGGAAATGCATCTCCAGGAACAGCACCGGCAAGTTAAGAAAGCCACACCAACACCAACTATAGGTCGTAATGATGCTGTTGGAAAAGGTGGTCTTAAAAGCCTCCAGGCGGCACTGTCTTGGGATTCAGGGAAATCCCAGAGGGGTTTCCGGTGTCCATGTTATTGTGCTCCTTGTTCCGGCAAAGCCCTGAAGCAGCCAGTGTGAGCAGCGGCCACAGGGAGGTAGCCAAGAGCAGGCAAGGGGACTGCTTCCCGCCCCGCAGGCAAGGCTTCAGGGACTGGATACATTTCTCAACAGTGTCCAGGCCTGGGACCCAAAGGTGCAGCCGATCAGTGTGGCCTACCATTCACCTGCCTAAACACATTCAGGTTGAACTGGCCCATCATTGCCAGGCTTTGGCATGCTAAACTCTCCGACTGTCACCTCAGACATGCTCCATCAGCCTGGTTCCCCACTTGAGAATTTCTCAACACAGCTGAAGCCCCTTTAGGGCACAGAGTGTCTTGTAGGAGCGAGATGATTCACCTGTGCCATCTGGGCCATGAAGTTGGCATGAAGGCAACACTGGGTTAATGACATCAAGGAAGGTCTGGGCCAGACAGAAAATTTAGAGAATGGCATACATTAAGTGGGAGGGGAGCTGCTCAGACAACGGCACGAGGACCTGCCTTGGATCACTAGAACCTAATCAAAAAGCTGGGTGTGGTGGCATGTCCTTGTGACCCCAGCAGTGGGGTGGCAGAGACAAGTGGATCCCTGAGGCCCACTGGCCAGACAGAAGAACCTACTCAGCAAGTTCCAGGCAAGTGAGAGACCTTGTCTTAAAAATAACAAAACAAATTTAACAAAAAGTCCCCCAAACAATAAGCACAAAACCCAAGCTGCATAGTGTTTGACAGCTTAGGTGGTCTCTGCCTCCACGTAGACAGGCCAACACTTTTATGTGCCCCCACATGCATGTGTACTTGCACACAGGTGAGCATGCTCATACACACAGAAGGGAATTAGTTAGGGTTGGGGCGTGGTGGTGGTGGGGCAGTGGCTTCCTGTGGGTCCTGGGAGAGGGTGGGCCTTTTCTTTCTCAGCTCTGCCTGAACACTTGCCAACTCAGCACAGAGGGCTGAATACTCAGGGCTCCAACCCCTGCATCACCATTTCCGGGGCAGGACACGCTGCCTGACGTCCCTTCAGTAGGACAGGGCTTCCACACCAAGGGGACTCAACTTTTGTAGAAGAAAATGTCACCCTGGACTTGCTGCAGGTCTGTAGTCTTAATTCCTTAGGAAGTTGAGGCAGTAGGATCCCAACTTCTGGGCTACAGATGAGTTCAAGGATGCCCTGGGCAGCTTAGTGAGGGAAAAAAAAAATGAAATTTATGCCCTGGCAATGCTGAAGCGTGCATGGGCAGCCCGTATATGGTGGTTCTGTCGAACTTGTCCATATTGGATTTCATAGTTTAAGTTGATGAGGACTGACCAGGTCTCTTCCTCAAGAGGACACCAGATCCCATTACAGACACCATGTAGTTGCTGGGAATTGAACTCAGGACCTTTAGAAGAGCAAGCATTGCTCTTAACCACTGAGCCATCTTTCCAGTCCCCTTAGTGAGACCCTGTCTCAATTTTTTTTTAAAAAAAAAAGCAGGGTGTGAGGAGGTGTAATTTAATGGTAGAGTACTCATTTAGCTTCTGGGAGATCCTGGGTTTTATCCCTAGCACGGTAAAACTAGAACAGCAAAGCCAGGACAGAACATCAAAACCATTAACACTAAGAAAGACAATGGCTTCTGCCTTGGGAACCTGAGGTCATAAGGGCTTGGGGCTTATAGTGATTATTTTATTTGTTTTGGCTATTCATACTGACTATCTCATTATTTTGTTTTTGAGACAGGGTTCTATGTAGCTCAGGCTGGCCTCCAACTCACTAAGTAGCCAAGGATGGGCTTCAACTTCCTGCCTCCACCTCCTGGGAGCTGCTCTGAGTAGCATTCACCACCCCCTGCCCCCTACCCCCACTCACTCCCCTCACCTTCATTTATGTGGTGCTGAACTTCACACACGCTATGCAAGTGCTCTGCTGGCTGAGCCACCCTACCCCGAACCCACAGTCTGGGTTCTAATCAGTGGTGGCAGATAAGAGGGCCTCTGGTCTTCAGGCCTCCATGCCACCCCACACCAGCTGAGGCCAGGGGCAGGACTGCACCTTTCTTACTCATTCCCGTGGCAACCGGGCCTTATAGAGCAAATGCCCTCTGAGTGAACAAATGACTCAAATTCTGAGGTCATTTACTCAGCTGTTAATTTGGTTCTTTTTCCTGTAGAAAATAACATGGGCACCAGCACGGCTCTGGTATAGAATGGCCAGTTCTGGATCCTAACACTGCTGTGTGTCTTCGGTCTAATTACTTAACCTCTCAGTGCCCTGGTTTTTCTATCTGTAAAGATCAGTATAGTACAGCACTTGCCTTAAGAAATGAATGGGGGAGGGGGCAGATGAATCCACCATGGGTTTGTGCCGCTCTTCCAGGGCGCCTGGAACACAGTGAGCTCCTTTGGAAGAACTTGTAACTATTATTCTTTCCCTTCTTAGTTCCAGCCAGGACCTCACTCCTCTGCCCGAGTCTGGTGCTTCCTCTCTGATCAAAGCCTAAACCCACAGGGGTGGTGCCAGGTGCCTCTGGGTGGAAAATGGGGCCTCTGAGAAACCACCGGCAGGGAAGCGGGTGCCCAAGGTGGGCAGGGGTGGAGTCCTGTGGTCCAGCAGTGACGTGACCTCACTCCCATGCCCTGTGTCCCTAGGGGAGCATGTCAGGGTGGGGATCGGCCTCGTGGAGTCCCTGCACCCTGGGAGTGGATGAGATGAACTTTGCTAGCCCTGGGCTGAACCTTGCTGGGTGACTGATGTCCTACGTGGGCAGCATGCAGCCACCAGCCTGGGGCCCAAGGCTGACATAGAAAAAGAAAAGCAGAGACGCCATAGTTCTGAACTTGGGGCTAAGAGTAGAGAACCAAGCAGGAAAGTAGGCGAGACAGGGGACAAGCTGCTTCTGTATGCATTGCTGCCTGCTGATGCCACCATTCCTGCTTCCTTGTCTCAAAGACCCCCACTGTCCCAGAACCCACTGGGCAGGGTGGTGCCATATGGCTTCTTAATTGAGTAAATAAGACCACGCCTCAATTAAAAAGGAGAGGAGCCACCTCAGTTGGTAAAATGCTTGTCTTGCAACTGTGAGGATCTGAGTTTGAATCCCAAAACCCACAAATAAGCTGGGCATAAGCTGGGCAGGTCACATGCACGCACACTCATGTGCACACACACCACACATGTACACACACATACACATACACACACATAATGTTAATCCCAGGAATGCAAAGATGGGAGGCAGAGACAGACAGATCTGGAACTTGCTAGCAAGCCGTAAGATCTGACTTCAGATCCCCCAAACCACATAATGTGGGGTGCTGTAGTGTACATCTACAATCCCAGCACGCCTGTGGAGAGACGGGATGCAAAGATAGGAGTCTCTAGAAACTTGAAGGACAGCTAGTCTAGGGTATGTAGAAGAAAACAACAGACCCTGCCTCAAACAATGTAGAAGGTGAGGACCAACTCTGACTTCTACAAGTGCTCCATGGCAAGTATATACCCACACTTAAAGGCAGCAACACACATACACACACGCACACACACATACACACGCACATACACACATGCACACACATACACACGCACACACACTGGCACTTTTTCCCTACTATGTCTTCCTCCACAATGCTCTAAGTACCTGCTCTCCCTTGGCCTTGCCTCACTTAAATCTGCACGAGTGAGGATAGCCACAGTGGTACCCAGATAGCTCCCGGTGAAGGTGGTGGGTTGTACCTGCTTCACGGCCAGGTTGACCAGGTCGTAGCGGTGGGAGCGGCGCAGCGGCAGGCAGAAGCTGTAGAGCGCGTGCAGCATTCCGAAGAAGAAGCTGAGCAGCCCGATCTGCTTGCGATGCTGCAGCCAGTGGTCCAGCCAGTCCGGAAAGCGCTGGTACTTGGTCCCCCTCCTTAGCTGAAGGGCGGCTGCCAGCACACCAGGCAGGTACACCAGAGACAGCATCACATAAGCCACACAGGGCAGTGTGGTGTTGACCACAGACAAGGGCATCTTGTAGAATTTGTTCTCATGCTTCCGCACGTATGGATGCAATACATCCCGGATGAAGTTGTAGGCATAGAAGCACACAAAGAGCCCCAGTGCCAGAAGGATGGGCACCTTCCAGGAAGGAAAGAGGCGCAGGGGTATGGCCTCTATCTCCCGGGCTGAGGCCAGCGATCCCATGTCCAGAGGTGTAAAACCCATGGTGCGCGCCATCTCTGAGATGGTATGCTTGGCTTCCAGCTGGTCGCTGCAGATGAGCACCTGTAGGAAGAGAGAAGGGGACAGCTGGCTGGAGTCACAGGTATGGGCATGGCTAGGTGACCACCAGGGTCAAGCTCCTTAGTGAGTTGGAGAAACTGAGGCACAGAGGGGCAGGTACCAGTGAGTGGCCAACTGATGAGAATGCAATTCAGAGTGCGAGATGGTTGATGCTCAAGCCAAGGATTTGGGAACAGAGGCCCTGCAGCCTCTCTTGGAGATGAAGAGACAATGCTCTCCCTGTAGCTGTCCTGTCACGGTAGATGCTCAGTCAGGCGGCCCCTGTGGCCTCCGGAACAACTGCTTCTGAGGACTAACTGCTCAGTGCCTGCCTCTCTTGCATGTAGTCACCAAATGTGAGGAAGCAGCTGCAGCTGCATCCTTCAGTGCAGAGATGTTCTCTATGGTGCTGTCCCTTGACTCCACAGAGACCTCAGTCCCTACCCTGCCTGCCCCATTGTCTCGGCCTGCAAGTCCACTGTACCCCCTGAGCTCCACTGGAAGACACATTGATGTCTTTGGGTCCCCAAGAATCCTGAGCGACCCTGTTGACACACCTGAGGTCTATCTAGTCTCCCACCGTAACTGAGCAGTTAGTCTGAGTAGTCATCTCAGCCTCCTGCCCAGCCTGCAGGTCAGTACTAATACACCCATCTTTCAGATGAACAGACTAAGGTCTGAGGGCCTCAGTTTTTACTCTGGTACCTTTGCAGGTTGTCAAATCAGCCTGGGATGCCCTCCCTGCTTCCTGAGCCTGAGTCTAAGGCCGGCTGAGGGTCTTCTCCAGCAGGTCCTCTGTCTTAGTCAGCTTTAATTGTCAAGATGGCCATTAAATCATCTGAGAGGAGTGCCTCAATTAAGGGATTGCCCACATCAGATGAGCCTGTGGGCATGTCTATGGGGGATTGTCTTAATTGTTAATTGGTGCAGGAAGGCCCAGCTCATGGTGGGAGGCAGGTGGTCCTGAGCCGTGTGAGAAAGCTAGTTAGCAGGAGTGGGCATGAGGCTGCAGCAGCATTCCACGACTTCTGTTGTACTTCCTCATCTTCTGGAAGTGAGTTCCTGGCACAGCAGTGATGCTGCACGGAACAGCACAGAGGCCTGGGCTCTTACTCTGACTTACTCTGTGATGGACTATGACCTGTAGGCTGACGTACGCCCTTTGCCCCTGTGTTGCTTTCAGACGGTTTTATCACAGCAATGGAAAGAAAATGAGAGCACCATATGAAAACCTGTCCCTAGGTCACACAGTGGTGGATAGCCAGGTGCCTCTAGATTCTCTCAGAGCTGGGCCCTGGATAGGTTTATGGACGGACATTCTACCACGTGTGTGAAGTCCGGCTTTCTTTTGATCGTGTGTGGTATTTGTGAGGATGTATGTATGTGGGTACATATGAGTTCATGTGTGTGCATGTGCATGTTGAGGGCAGAGGTGAAGTCAGGAGTCTTAAACTATTCCTTTCCATGTTCCTTGTTGAAACAGGGTCTCTCACTGAACCCGAAGCTTGCCTTTTTGGTACGGGTTGGCTACTAAGCCTTAGGGGTCCCCCGTTCCTGCCCCAGTACTGCTGGGATGATAACCACTACATAGTTTTTATATGGATGTAAATATAGGTTCTAATGGTCACATAACATGCATTTTACCCACTGCACCAGCTCCCCAACCCCAAGATATCTCCTCCTCGAACCCCAAGTCAACAGCCATCATCCTTTCCTTCATACTGAGGAAACCAAGCCCCCATCTCAAAAAGAACATGGATCCCATGTCCATATAAATAGGGTTCAAGCTGGATGGTAGTGGTGCATGCTTTTAATTCCAGCACTCAGGAAGAAGAGGCAGGTGGATCTCTATGAATTCATGACCAGCCTGGTCTACAGAGTGAGTTACAGAGCAGCCAGAACTACACAGAGAAACCTTGTCTTAAAAAAACAAAAAACTCTGGGCTGGAGAGATGGCTCAGTGGTTAAGAGCATTGCCTGCTCTTCCAAAGGTCCTGAGTTCAATTCCCGGCAACCACATGGTGGCTCACAACCATCTGTAATGAGGTCTGGTACCCTCTTCTGGCCTGCAGTCATACACACAGACAGAATATTGTATACATACATAATAAATAAATAAATAAATATTTAAAAAACAAAAAACCAGAATAATAAATAAATAAATAAATAAATAAATAGGGTTCAAATCCCAACTCACCAGCGTTGGGCTAACATCATTAATGTCTCCGAGCTTTGATTTCCTGCTGTGTAAGATGAGATTTTTATGGTGACAAGAGGGATGCTGGCTGCCATTCCCTAGCACCTACCTGCCTGTTGCCATCCCTTGGGCCAGACTGCAGGGCCCAAGCAGAGATGACATTGAAGGCCTTGACCACAGTGCAAGCAGGGAAGAGTGAGGCCAGGTACTCGGCGTTAGACTGGTGGTTCTGAAGATGCTCCTTCTCCGTGGGGTTGCTTACATCCACTAGGATCTTGCCAGCCAACTGGTCGCCCAGACAGCACAGTGAAGAATAGTGCTCCCGGAACACGGCTACAAAAATGACCTGTGGAGAGCTCACAGCCTCCTCCTGAAAAGTCACTTGGGCTGTGGAGGGGAAGAGGCCAGCTGTGCGTTTGGGGTTACGACTCCCCACTACCACGCTGAAGCCAGAGCTCACTAGGCGTGTGGCTAGGGAACGGGCAAAATCCCCACTGCCCAGTATGCCCACTTTGGGGGCCTTGTTGGGGACCTCAGTCAGACTGCCATCACTGTCCACCAGGCGGCGACTGATCAGCGGCTTGTCCATTTCCCCGGACATTGCGGTGGCTGTAAGAGAATGCAGAGACCTGGTCACTAGAGGCCTCCCAGGGCATCTGGCCTCCTACCTCCTACCTTGGGTCAAACATGGCTGGTTAGGTCTTCATCCAGCAGACACCAAGTATTCCATGCAAACACAGGGGACAAGCTGAGCAAGAGCAGCCCCACTGGACAAGGACATATATGCATAGAGTGGGAGGACTCTGACCAACTGAGGAAGGCTGGAAAGACAGAAAATGAAGGCTGGGAAGATGGCTCAGCAAGCATGGAAGTTAGAGCTTGGATCTCTGTGTCTACATAAACACCGGGTAGGCATGGAACTCAGAAAGCAGCGAGAGGGGATCCCTGGAGCAGGCTGAATAGCTAGCCTGGTCATATTGGTGGACTTTGGGTTCACTCTGAGACCCTGCCTCACTGAGTAAGGCAGAGAACAACAGAGGATATAGGCCAGCCTTGGGCCTCCACAGGCATGTGTATGCACAAACATACATACCTCAACATGGGGAAAGAAAGACGACAGGGACACTTAAGAGGACGTGGGAGGGGCTGGAGAGGGTTCAAAGGTTAAGAGCACTGGCTGCTCTTCCAGAGGTCCTGAGTTCGATTCCCAGCAACCACATGGTGTCTCACAACCATCTGTAATGGGATCTGGTGCCCTCTTCTGGTCTGCAGCATACATGCAGTACAGAACACTGTATGCAAAATAAATAAGTCTTTAAAAAAAGAAAAGAAAAGAGGACCTGGGAAAGGGGAAAGGAATCTAGGTGAATTCCAGTACATGAATTCCAGTACATGAGCAATGTTTGCCGTGACGCTGTTCACATGATTACACTTATACACAGAGAAAATGCTAAAATAGCAATGACCTGAGATGCGGAGATGGCTCAGAGCACTAAGTGCTCGCCACACCAGGATCTGAGTTTGGATCTCCAGAATCCATGTACAAAAGTCAGGTGTGACAGCATGTGCTCATATGTGCAGAGGCAGGCAGATCCCTTGGGAACTACTGGCCTGTTAGTTAGCTAAATTGGTTTCAGGTCCCAGTGAGAAACCCTGTCTCAAAAAGTTAAGGTGGGGAATGACTGAAAAAAGACACCTGACATTGATCTCTGACCCCCACACAAACACACACACACACACACACACACACACACACACACACACACACAAAGGAGATAATAGCGTTTTCCTTACAAGGTTGCAGAAATAAGTCAAACAGGGCTGGACTCAAGCCATAAGCACTGAGCAAGCCCCAGCGGCAGGAGAAGAACCCTCTGCAGCAATGCCAGGTACCCGTTAGGCCCTAGAGATCAGAGATGGTGGGGGAGCAGGAGTCAGGACAATCATTCTGCAGGTTGGCAATGGAGACCCTCTGCTCAGTCATCTGGAACCTGGGACCGTCCCACCTGACCCCACAAGGCTTCCAGGCTAGGGTGTCCACATTTGCTAACCATTTGTGCGACCTCAGAAACCTGGATGAACAGAAGGGTGTCTTCCATCTCAACTCTCAAATTGCTGAGGCAGGAGAATAGGGAAGAAAAAAGGTTGGGAAGACTTTGGGCAAAATCTTACAAAATTAACATACAAAAATTGGCAGAAGAGCTGGTGGTGACGAAGGGGGAGGGGCGGTGCAGAGGCAGGCAGATCTCTGTGAGTTCGAGGCCAGCCTGGTCTACAAAGAGTCTCAGGACAGCCAGGGCTACGCAGAGAAACCCTGTCAAAGAAAGAAGGAAGGAAGGAAGGAAAGAAGGAAGGAAGGAAGGAAGGAAGGAAGGAAGGAAGGAAGGAAGGAAGGAAGGAAGGGAAGGAAAAAAGGAAGGAAGGAAGGAAGGAAGGGAAGGAAAAAAGGAAGGAAGAAAGAAAGAAGACAGGAAGAAACCTTGAAAGCCCTTGGCCTTGGCAACTAAATCAGGCCACTGGCACAGGTATGGGTGGATGTGTATATGTGTGATGTACATATGTGTGCACATTTGTGAGCCTGTGTATGTGTAGACATAGGCCTTGTATGTTAGTTCTCACTCTCTGCCATGTTTGGCACAGGGTCTGTTTCTCCTGTTCACACACCAGACTAGCTGACCCAGGAGCTCTGTCTTCACTTCCCATCTCCCAAAAGGATGCTGGAGTTACAGACACTATTGTATCCAACTTTTTCATGGGTTCTGAGGATTCGAACTCAGATCCTTATGTCTACACAGCAAATGCTTTTTACCTACGGAGGCACCTCCCCAACCCCTGCCCTCACAGTTCTTCACAGGTTTGGCCACACCCAAACACAAGACCTGCCACTGTTCTGATGGCTGTGGGGAGGGACAAAGTGGTTGGCACACATCCTGGAGTTCTGAGAGGCTCAGAAGTCACTGCTGCCTGCGTGTTTGGTAGAGGTAAGAGTCTGCATGGTCTGGCCTCTGCATGTGCCTGGCTGTGATGTGGGATCTATTTATAGACAGAGGGCACAGAGGGCGAGGGGATCTGATTGCAGCTGATGGGCCTGGGTCCGTAGCCAGGCTACAGATCTACTCACCTGCCTGCCAAGCTACAGACAGAAGAGCACTGTGGCTGGGGTGGCCCAGTCCCCTGGGGTCTCGGCCAGGCTCCTTGTCCCCTCTCGATTCCCAGCAGAGCCAAAACATGGACTGCAATTTTGGCTCTGATACACAACCAATCTGCTAGCTCCTTCCTGCTCTTGGGGAGGCCGGAGTGAGAATAGCCATGCAGATGATGGCCCTAGCCTTTTCTCATGGGTTGCGCCACCCTTTGGATTTTAGGTGGTCATGGATGGCCACCAGGAGTCCCTTGGGTGCAGTTATCCTCACAAATTATGATAGATCCTATAAGGAAAAGCAGACAGACTCCCACCCAGAACCCAGGGTTACCTCAGGCTGCCAGGATGCCCACGTTATCTTTGGGTGTGTGTCCGCACTCTAAGGATGAAGCCCAGGGCTTTGAACACATGAAGGATCAAATTCATTCTGCCACCAAGCTACATCCTCTGCCCACTTATGGGTTTAATTCCTTTTAAACCTTCGTGTGTGTGTGTGTGTGTGTGTTTGCACGCGCGCGCGTGTGTTAAGACAGTAGTACAATACAATTGAACATATGCAAACTATATGCTGGAGCGGTGGCTCAGTGGTTAGGAGCCTGCACTGCTTTTGAAGCTGTGTGAGTTTGGTTCCCAGCACACACGGTGTGTGGCTCACAACTACCTGTAACTTCAGCTCAAGAAGAGTCTGATACCTCTGACCTCCACAGGCGTCATGTGCATGAATCAATACACACACAATTAAAAATGAAAAATAATAAAAATTTTTTAAAAGTTTTTATATGCTTGCTCAGCATGTAGACTCTGGGTTTAATCCCAGGCATTACACACACACAAGTTGTTTTTGTTTTTAAAGAAACTGAGTTTCCAAGGACTATTATTTCTGTGACTGAAAAGTAAACACACTTTGGGGGTCGAGTCTGATTCTGTGATTCATTTGTCTCCGCATTCAAGGCTTCTTTCCTTGTTTTCTGCCTAGTTGAGCCCTTTAAGTCCCATGACCTGCAGAGAAGTCAAACTTACACAACAGCCAAAGTTAACTGTTGGGGAGGAGCCATGGTCTCTGGGACTCAGCTACACCCTTGACTCCACAGCATGCTTGGTCTCGGCTTGCCCTGTAGCTTCTTTCTACCATCATTCCAGGTTGGTGTGGCTGGATCTGTGTGTGAGTGCTGAGGTCTCGGGGCCGCTCCACGGCTCCCAGAGGTATCCTCCGCTACCCACGGAAAGGCCTGGAGTTTAAATGAGGCCATGCAGCAGGGTACGGCACACCGCAGCCAGTCTTCCAGGAGGTGCATTGCCTCTCATTCCTCCACGGGTGTGAATCTGCTCTGTCTCTTCTGAAGCTCACACTGAAACGTAGCCATTACGGGGCATGAAGGGGAAGCACATCAGAGGTGGATTAAAGGGGCTGGAGAGAATGCTCAGTCGATGAAGTACTGTGCCTTGCAAACACGAGGACCTAAGCATCCATGCTTGCAAACATGAGAACCCAGCATCCATGCAAAAAAGCCAGCATGGTGGTTGTCTTAGTTAGGGTTTACTATTGCAGGGAAGAGACACCATGGCCACGGCAATTCTTATAGAGAAAACATTTAATTGAGGGGACTCGCTTACAGTTTCAGAGGTTCAGTCAGTTATCGCCAAGGCAGGGAGTATGGCAGATTTCAGGCAGAGGTGGTGCTGGAGCTGAGAGGGATACATCTTGCAGGAAACAGGAAATCAACTGACTGTCACTGAGTGAAGCTTGAGAAAGACCTCAGAGGCTGCCCCCTACAGTGGCACACTTCCAACAGAAGGTGTGGTCCAGATTAAAGGTGTGCCCTCCAGCCTCAAGGTCTGGATTAAAGGTGTGTGTCACCCAGCCTTCTCCAACAAGACCACAATTCTTCCAACAAGGCCACAGCTATTAATAGTGCCACTCCCTATGAGTTTATGGGGGCCAAATACATTCAAACTATGTGAGTTGCTCACCACAGCTGGGGAGGAGGATCCCTGGGGCTCCTAACATAGCCAAGTCAGTAAATTCCATGCCAAGGAGACAGGATCCGGGCCTGATGGGATGGCTCAGTAGTGTGGAGCTCAGGTAGTCCATATGTCTAGAAATGAGCTCAAGCTGGACTACAGGAGGATTTCTGGCAGTTAGATAAGAGCCAGAACTCTTCAGGAACTTGTTAAGTGGGTTCCAGTTTCTCCAAAAGGAGACATTTTTCCTTGCCTTTATCAGAAGGGCCATGTGGCTCTCCACTGGTGTATACCCGTGGGTGCCTATCAAAGCCCATGATGGTCTCCAGGCTCCCTCAGTCCCTACTCACCAGTACCCATGATATATTGCAAAGCCCACACTATAGCCTCCTGGCCTTTCTCACCTCCTCCCCCACCCTAACTCTGGGGTCCACTCTAGCCATGGACATCTCTGCCCCCAGCCACACATCCTCCTTATAACCCACATTATTCTCTTGAAGACAGC